ATACCCACTGAAACGTTCTTCCCAACAAGGGGGGTGAGACAAGGTGACCCCCTAAGTCCGTACCTTTTTGTAATCTGTATGGAAAGATTAGGCCAACTGATAAATACTGAAGTACAAGAGGGGCGGTGGAAACCCATCTCGCTGTGCAGCGGGGGACCTAAACTAACGCACTTGTTCTTCGCAGATGACCTGGTCTTATTCAGTGAAGCCTCTCAAGCCCAAATGGAAGAGATAAGAAATACTATGAGTTTCTTCTGTGAAGTGTCAGGACATAAGATAAACCTTCAGAAATCCAGAATGTTTGTCTCCAGGAATGTCCACTCAAGTCGAGCGAACTCCCTCAGTCATTGGTTGGGAATTAAACTAACTGCAGACCTTGGAAGATACCTAGGGGTTCCTTTACTGCATAAGAGAATGATGAAGGTAACCTTTGCACCGATTGTTCAAAAGGTTAGAAAGAAGCTTGCTAGCTGGAAGGGAAAGTACTTAAGCATGGCAGGTAGAGTAGTTCTGATAAAATCTGTCCTATCTGCTCTCCCTTACTACCAGATGCAGTCAACATTACTGCCAAAAGGAGTCTTGGCAGAAATTGAGAAGCTGTGTAGGGACTTCTTTTGGAATCATTCAGCTGATGCGAGAAAGTTGCATTTGATAGCTTGGGATACCATTAAAAGTGATAAACAGACGGGGGGATTGGGAGTTAAAGATCTGCACTTCCAAAACACGGCGTTTATCCTGAAATTATGCTGGGGTCTACTAACCAAGCCAAACGCTATGTGGGTAAAAATTTTGAAAGCCAAGTATAATTGTGGCTGCGAAGACTGGCCAAAGGTAGTGGCCAAAGGGAATCAATCAGCAGTATGGAGGAGTATTACTGCAGTTTGGGAAGCTTTTTCAAAGGGTGTGGGGAAGAAAATCAGGAGTGGATCAAACACTAAAGCATGGCAGGAAACTTGGGCCCCACTCGATTTACCACTCAAAGAGTATGTGATCAAAAACCACCAATCCCTCGATATGGAGGCTAAGGTTAGCCAGTTTACGCGGCAAAGGGGGGAGTGGAATTTAAGAAAATGGAGCGTTTTCCTACCTCAGTGGGTAGTAGATAAAATCCAGAATATACCACCCCCAGCTTGTGAAGGACCAGATGTCTTTTACTGGAGGAAGAGCTCAGACGGCACTTTTAGCATAAAGTCAGCTTACAATTGGGTGTCAACTCAGAATATTAGACCGAAGAATTCTCACTGGAATTTTGTCTGGAAACAGGACATCCCGGAGCGAGTGAAAGTTTTTATGTGGCAGTTGTTTCATGAGAGACTACCAACTAATCTTGCCAGAGCTAAACACTGCAATACTACCGTTCCTGAGTGCCCCTTTGAGTGCCTTTGTGAGGAAACACTGCTTCACACCCTGAGAGACTGTGAAAATGCCCATGGAGTGTGGTCTGCTTTCATTAACCCTGTTTATTGTGTTGGTTTTTTTAGTGGTAATTTTCAGGATTGGCTGCGGTGGAACTTAGAGAATGAACCAGGTTCAAGACAAATATCAAAGTGGAGGTGGTTTAGAGTATTTTCTCTAATCTGCTGGATGATATGGAAAAATCGGTGCAAGAAGGCGTTTAATGAAGATCACGTATCACCCAGGGAATTGATTAACCATTGTCTACACATGCTCATGGAAGAAGTGGAGAACAACCAACTTAAACATCAGATATTCCAAACAAATGTGGAAGCAGATGATACATGGACCCCACCACCACCATCCTTTGTCAGAGTGGATGTGGATGGCTCTGTGACTGACCAGAATCAAGCGGCATGTGGAGGGATCCTGCGGGATGAAGACGGGAATTGGTTATCAGGCTTTCAACAGAATTTGGGACCAGTGGGTTCGACAATTGCTGAACTATTGGCGATTAGAGCGGGACTAGTTGTATGTAAAAAGCTAAACCTCTCAAAGATCAAGCTGTACACAGATTCGAGAGAGGCGTTATACCTTCTCCAGCATGGAGGTGGAACTTCACATCCATTTAAGGAGGAAATCGATGAAACAAGGTCCATTATCTTCTCAAACTGGAATCTGGAAATATCATACGCCTGTAGGGAATCGCTGCGATGCGCGGACTACCTAGCGAGGAAGGCTCACAAAGTTTCTATGGAGCTGGTTCAGGTTCAAAATCCCCCAAGATTTTGTGTTCACCAAATGCAACAGGACGCTGAGTTTTGTCTCAGGACGCACCTGACTTAGGCGGATCCTTTTTTGTTGTTGTTGTACTTCAAGCTCTCGCTTGCCTTCTTATTCGAAAAAAAGAAAAGTAAACACTACTAAAGATCCATGCACAAACTCCAATCAGTCAGGAAAGTGTTCATCATCAATTGAAAAAACATAATCAATTAATTTTAGAGGTTGTTTTACTGCATTGTTTTAATTAGAATTTCCGTCAAATTAAATTAAATAGATTAAATGAGGATTCAATTTATTACTGAGTATCACATTAATTACGACGATTGTTAATTTGGGAACAAGCAAAGAATAAACTAGTAACATTTCGATTCCCCCTAATTTTGAGTAATTGCACGCCTCTAATACTCTGTTTGGATAAGTAAAAAAGTTCGCAAGAAAGAAAATAAGAAGAGAAAAAACTGGAGAAATCTTTACCACATCTCATGTTTGGATAAAGGTGAGAAAATAACGAGAAAAGACAATGAGCAAATATTTTTATAGGCTCTAATAATCTAATAAATCCTACGTCAACCTCAATTATTTGACCTACAGAACTTCGGTGACCCGACTTGAATCTGTACCCAGCATGCTATCTCCTCTATTCTCCTATTCAATTTTTCTGACATTGGCAATCATCAATATAAAACATAAAATACTCCTCCGGTCCTTAATATAAGACTCATTGAACTAATTTGATTAGATTAAGGAAGTTAGGTAAGTTAGTTAATTATAAGAAAAATGACACATTTTTCCTAAAACACCATAATCATCTTTCTTAATACCCCTCTCTTTCTTCTACTTGATTATGATTGAAGGAGTATCATGAGGGTAATTTAGAGAAAATTGATAAATATGAGAAATGGGTCTTATATTTAGGACCAAAACCAACTCAAGAATTGGGTCTTATATTAAGGACCGGAAGAGTATATAACGAGTTACATGATTTATCAAAAATTTAATTAATTAGTAGCTTAATGAGTTAAAATCAATTTCTATTTTGGATTTCAGAAAACTAAATCATATATATTGCTTTGAGTGAGAAATTATAAAAAGGGTTCTCACAAAAGTTACTCATTGTGTCTCTCTACTTCCCGTAAACAATCTATAAATTCGTCATTCACAGATTCACTCGAATGCTTTTAACTTGTTGATGGGACCATCAAATTGCACCCTGTCATCACAAAGATTATAACCTTATCATATGATCATCGGAATGTGGAATTTCATCATATTTCCAGCAAAGTTATTCGATGTGCCAAGTATTTGGCCTGAGAAGGATACATTGACTCCTTTAAAATATTAATTTTTGACGTATGAAAAAGTTTAGACAGGTTAGATCCCAGAGCTAATGAGAATTAGAATATACTTTTAAACTTAAAAGGTATTTATAGAAGTACTTACAGATCATCTACCAACAAAGTCAGCAGTGGGATTCGAACTCACAATTTTATAAATTATAAGTCAATTTCTTATCAACTTGACTAACTTTAGATAAAAGCAGAATAGTTAAACTAGTAAATGTAACTTTTATAGTTGATGTAGGTGTACACTCTGGAAAGATACATTAAACATTCAAAATTCTCATTCGACTATTGAGAAAATAAAATACAGTATATCGTATCTATTTATGTATATGTATTATTTTCTCTAATATAATGTAAAATAAATTATTCATGCGCAATAATCATATTCAAAATTTAATTTAAAATAAATATTTATTTTGAAGATAAAGTAATATATTATCTATTTTAAAACTTAACTCCAAAAAAATCGGAACTCTGAAAGTTTCAAATAAACAAAGAAATAAAAAATTGGTTTAAGTTAGTTTTAAATACTACTTCTGGTCCTTAATATAAGACTTCATTTAATATTTATTTTGGTCATAAATATAAGATTCTAATCCACTTTGTTTCTCATATTTATGTATTTTTCTCTAATATAGTTTTTCTAATAATAATAGTTCTAGTCAATACATTTAATAAACAAGAATGTTTTTTTTAAAAATATCTATTTATTATAGGAAAAATTCTAAAAAAAGCCCTTGGAATATAAGAAATTTCAGATTGGGTTCTGGAATTGTGTAAATGACAGAAAGGGTCAATGACCCAATCTGTCATTTGTAAAATCAAGAGAAATGGACAATTTTGCCCGCATTTGTGTTCATTCACTATAATGAATCATTATAAGAGTTTAGGCGTTACCTAGATTCGTACAAAGAATAACTACTCACTTTTTCGTAGTTAGATGCCTTGTTATTAACTACAACTAATCATGTAATCACAAGAACAGTATAAACGTTACCTAGATTCGTGTAGAGAATAACTACTCACTTTTTCATAGTCAGGTATCTTGTTATTAACTACAACTAATCATGTAATCACTAGAATAGTGTAAGCGTTATCTAGATTTGTTAGACAATAACTACTCATATTTGCTTAGCTAGGGTAAAATTATCAATTCCTCTTGATTTTACAAATGACAGATTGGGTCATTGACCCTTTTTGTCATTTACATAATTGTAGGACTCAATCTGGAATTTCATATATTCTAAGGACTTTTTCTGGGATTTTTTTATTATAAATAACTAATTTAATTTATTTTTTTAATGTATTTAATTTAATTAACTAGTTATTATATTTAATTTAGTACAGGAGGTAATATTTGAAAAGAAATAAGCAAGGTCGGTTTATTTGGGAATCTCTCTTTACCCAACAATGCGAAGGCCCAAATCTCAACCCAAACAAGCATCCGTCTCGTTCTCGCGCCTCCTAATGCGTCAAGAAATCATCCCCCAGCAGACTTCCGTTGCAATGCCGCGAAGCGCTCGCAAAGCTCAATTCAAGCTTCCCCAGACAACTATAGCGCTCCCTCTCCCTCTCTACGTCCTCCAATTCTCCGTACTTCTCTGCAAAACCCTAGTTTCTGCTTTGTAGCCTCTCCCTTGCAACGCGCAATGGCTCCTCGTGCCGACGAGTGCGACGAAGATGAGCTCTCCTCCAGCGAAGACGATGACAGCTTCAATGAGGACTTGGAAGCTCTCGCACGAGCCTGCAAGATCGCCGGCACCAACCCTGATGACCTTAAACCCACTTCTACCGACGGTCCCGACGATGAGAACGCAGACGCAGTGGTTCCGAAAGCTCCTGACCCGCTGTTGGGCCCGGGCGATGCTCTCGTTCCTGTGTCAGACTCGGACGACGAGCAGAGTGACCTTCAGTATCTTAAAAGAGTACAGGAGCGTTACCAGCCTTCATCTCTCAAGCCATTGAATGTTCTTCCAGCGTTTTCTCTGTCTGATGACGAGGAAGATGATGTGGAGTTACTCCAGGCTATTAGGAGACGCTTTGCCTCCTATGATAGAGGTAGGCTGCTTGTGAAACAAGTTTATCTTTCCAAATACTGATGCCAAATGAGTTCTGTCAGGGGAAACATCTTGAACTTTTCTCTCCTTATATTGTTTTGGGCTAATTGATAGGTGCATTGAACATTTTCAGATGACAACAAATGATTCTTACGTTACTCATCATGGCTTTGCTGGTCCAGTCATATTTTCTTTACTGACTTAGCTGACTTTTACTCTTGTATGTTTGGCTGTTGAGTTTTGTAATGTTTGGCCATAGTGTGTAGTTGTTATGTTTTATTGTTTAGATTATATTATTATGTCTACTTATGTCCATTCATCTTTTCTGAACCCTTTAGAATAACGTTGGATTCTAATAATATCAGGCCCTGATGAAGATAATGAGGATAAAATGGCTCAGGGAGCTCATACCTCCGGTCCAGGCTCTGAGGAGGAATATGATAACAGCGTGACATTTAAGGGATTAGAGCCCGGTGAATCATGCCCTGTTTCTCAGGATGCTATTAAGACCACCAGTTTATTGACTGGTGATGGTGAGAGACATCCTTTTAACATCAACGAGAGGTGTAAACCCGAGGCTTGCAAGTCATCCAAGTTATCGGACAAAGGATCAAACTTTCCTTTGTCTGCTCAGGTTCTTTTTGATGCAATAAAAAAGAATAGATCTTTCCAGAGGTTACTTCGAAGTAAGTTGATTCAGATGGAAGCAAAAATTCAAGAAAACAGACAGCTAAGGGAAAGAGTAAAACTTCTTAAAGAGTTTCAGGTTTCTTGCATAAGAAGAACAGGGCAAGCTATATCACTGAAAAAGGATCCCCGTGTCCTTTTAATATCAATAAGAAAGTCTCCTGCTGCAAGTAGCACGAAGGTGGGTTGAAAAATATCATCTTTGAATTTTTTTTTTTTTAAATTTTTTTATTCCTGAACTCCAAAGCTTGTGTTGTAGTTTATGTAAAGAAATTGTTGGGTGTGTATTAATGGCTGAATGACTAGTTGCTGGGTTTTGCTTATTCTAAATATTGTTTAATGAAATTGCAGTAACTCCTTTAAGTTTCTGTTTCCAATATGTTTGTCGCTTGTTTCCATTATTGAATTTTATTTGGATAAGTAAAAAGGGATTGATAGAAGATCTAATGGTTGGTCATAATGACCGCATAAATGGGAAGAGAACATATTGAATGCGCTTTGGTTAGTGAAAACATTATAAACTACACAGGATGAGTGTTTATTAATCTACCTGTAATTAATTTACTGCATGGTATTTTATTATTATTATTATTATTTTGGATTGGGTTTTCCTTAAGCTTGCCTTTTTATGGACAGAGGCAATTCTCGATTCTAAGATTTTTATTTTCATTTTTTTACAGATTAATGATAAAAAAATATCTCCAATGTGTTATGGCCCAGCTGAGAATGCTCATGTTGCTAAATATAGGATGGTGTTGGAACGATCTCCATTCTCATTGGATAGGAAAAAATGGTCTAATGTGGAGAGGGAGAATCTTGCTAAGGGAATAAAGCAACAATTTCAAGAAATGGTGCTTCAAATGTCAATGAATCAAGACAGGTAATGTTACTTCTTTTTTTCTCATGTATGTTGCAGTGAAGACTTGATGGCTTTAGAAATTATATTCGTGTTCAGAACATGTGTTTTAGTCACAATCTATACCTCTTGAACTGTGTATACTTGCTTTATATCTCAGTTTCACTGCTCAGTTTTTTTTTTCTTTTAAAAGATTAATATTATAAGTTAGAAATCATGAAACACGAACACGTACATGGCAATATCAGACAATCTGAAGCCTTCGTATGTTTTGCTTTAGTCTCCTTTTTTTGGTATGTGTTTTGTAGCTTTGAATCCAGCATTTTAACCATGCTTTGCAAGTCCTCATGCATATTATTAAAAATAATACATTCTAGTAGAGAGTAATGGACGACTAATCTATGAATGTTACATTCCATTATATGTTAGAATAAAAAGCATGGATATGATTCAATCATTTGTTTAAACAGAAGAATTTTATATTTTGTAAAACAACATATTGTTTTGAGCCCATTTCATGCCAGCACTGGAGAATTTACTGTATTAGCACGTCAGCACAAGGAACGCAGATGCATGCATTAGAAAGTGCATCATTTGATCTTTCTCCTTTTCCTCAATTTAATTTTCTTACCTCCTTGACAGTTCAGGGTGGTTGTGTGAATATGCGGATAACTTTGATACCATACTTGCATCTATTAAAGATCTTGAGATTACGCCTGAGAACATTAGAAAGTTTCTGCCTAAATTCAATTGGGATCAGTTGGCTTCCAAGTATGTTGTTGGTCGTACAGGTGCAGAATGTGAAGCAAGGTAAAGAGTTTATCAATTTGTAAGCTTCAATTTTTTTTCCTGGAAATTTAAATGCTTTTATTCATGTGGAGCTTGATATTGATGAAAACATAGTTCTGGTTTTATATTATTCACTATTAAGTTTGTTAGATGTCCTATGTTTCATAGGCGGGAAAAGAGTTTGAGCATATATCTGCAAGAAATTATTTTTTAAAAAAATCTTATCCTGATTGTACCATTCTGCTTGCTCTCCTGCGTTTAAGAATTGTGCCGACTCAGTCTGTTACTAGAAAAATGCGGACAAAACTTAATGACAATATGTTTTTATGGGCTTTGTCATGGTTGAGTTTACCAAAGTTGGTTCTATAGTAGAATATTTGTTAAAGAAAAGATGAAAGGAACTTATTTCTCATAGGAAAAACAAGTAAAATAGACCAATGGCTTCTGTCTCTTCTTATTTATAGGCAGCAATGAGAAACTTAGTCATCAATGTTAAGAGAATTGGACCAGATGACCTGTTCAAATAGAAACCGAATGTGCTGGGCTGTAGTCAGTCTGAATGGCGTTTCAAACCAGCCTTTAGAAGAAATGGTCAATTCAAATCAAAAACTGGGTTGACCACTTGGTGTTCCATGAAACTGGACTCAATTCATGAAGTGAACTTGCTGAGCAGATAAATTCCATCTGCTGGAGCAAAATTGGTTGCATGCTACATTGAATGCAGAGCCTCTAAGAAATGCATTGGTATATTACCACAGAGCTCTAGTGCTCTGTTTAACAACGTAGTGCTGAATTTTATATAAAATGCTTTTCCTCTATAACATTGTTTGTTCATGATTTAATCATTGGATTGTGAATCAGTGTCTTCAGGTTTGATAAATTGATAAATACATCTGGACTGATATTTATTTTAAGATAGATCCTACTTCAACAGAAATAGTTTGCAACACCAAATGTAAAAGGGTTTCTTAGTTTGCTCCTCTCAATTATTAATTTAGGCCGGGTGCTCGAATTTTTCTTTCCATTCTGCTGCTAACAAAGTAAGCTAAATTAGATCCAAGCACAACAGAAAAAAGTGAAGTTGCCAATGGCAATAATAGTTTACAAATATACCAAGTAGTTGTCCTCTGTTTTGGACATTAATGTGCTGTGCATGTATTTGGATTCTAATATACATTACTAACGCAAGACATCTAGATGCCCTGAATTCCTGTTCCATAGTGTAAGAAAACACAAACTGTGATAGTATTTTAGGTGATCTTAGCTTTTCTTTTAATATAGTACAAAATCCTATTGTATTTAGTGATACCGTCAATACTATGCCTATCCAGAGTGCTATGGAAGAGCACAATTCCACCTTTGTATGGTATGGCTGTATTGTGAATTGAAGTAGCATCGACCATGCTGCGTGACATATAGTGATGGTATAATTTGATTCCATTCTACATGCATTAGTCAGGGTTTTGTCTGACATAAGCTTGAACTGGTGAAACAGTTTGCTACTGATGTTAATATATGTTTTTTTGGACTTTATAGTATTCCTTAAGAGAGGGGGAAGCCTTGGTGAACCCAATTTTCTCTGGACTCTGTATTTGAGTCGAATCTTCTGGTTGATTTTGTTTGCATTTTCTGCTCTTGCTCAACTTGAACAAGATATCATTTAATTCTTCAAATTGTGGAATAACTTTCTGGGACATGAAGCATAGACCAGTCCTATCACATTTGATTGGTGCCATATGCTTGTTAGGCATGCTTGCGTGTTATTTGCCTTGTTACTGTTTCCTGTCATTTTCTTGGGCTTTCCAACGCAGTTCTTTGGCTATTATTTCCTGTTTATGTCTTTTTTGTGAAGAAAGTCTTTCTCCAAGCGTTGCAGGCATCTATGATGATACCATCACAGACAGTTTGTCACTTGTGGGTTTCAATAAGAGTGCAAGATCAACATAGATCATGCAGGTGGGACTGCACTTGACATGAATTTTTTTAACATGGTGGCATTTAATATGTCTGTGATGATTGTCATCACAGATGTCTGTGACACTCATTTCTTGAATGTAATTGACACTGTAGAATGATGCCCCTATTATGCATGGATAGCAAATTTCCTTTACATGGTTTTCGGTATGTTTTTTATGGTTGTTACCATCAGGTGGTTAAATTGTGAAGATCCCTTGATCAATCATAGCCCATGGACCTGTGAGGAGGACAAATGGCTGTTGCACATTATCCAAGAGATTGGCAATAGGAACTGGTTCAAAATTGCTGAATTTTTAACCACAAGTAGGACCCCATTTCAATGCTTGGCACGATACCAAAGGAGTTTAAATCCTTCCATGCTAAATAGTGAATGGACTGAGGAAGAAGATGCTCTACTTCGTTCTGCTGTCACAATTTTTGGTGCGAGCGATTGGCAGTCTGTAGCTTCCGTCTTAGAACGAAGGACTGGACCCCAATGCTCTAATAGGTTGGTCAGCTATGTTATGAGTTATTTTTTGACTTCACATGTGCATACTAGTTTTCAATGGGAGTATACCACTCAAAATGTAACAACTCACGTTTTATCTCTTGCATACTCTTCATTTACTGATATGCTGGTAGTTGATGGAGGAGCTCACAGCACCTTTCGTCTAGGAAATGTTATAAGCTCCTAAAGACATAAATTAACATTCAATAGCCTTTAATTTTGTTTTGTCTCCCATTTGAACCTCAGCTGAATTAAATTTTCTTTTATCTCAGGATTTGTCACTTGGGCAATTGTTTTCCGTTTAATGCTATCCAAATTCCAAAGCATAATGCCAAAAATCTTGACTGTTCTTGTCTGTTTTTTTTTTTTTTTTTGGGGGTTGAAAGCCGTTCTTGTCTACTTTATTGAAAGAAATATTAATGGTGATTTGTGCATTTCTGAAATTGATAGATTTCATTGCTTGTTTCCTTATTTGAATAATAGGGATGCAGTAATATAGGAATTTGCTGGGGCTCCCAAAATTTTCTTAACTAAAACACACACACATTTGCAAAGTTGCAAACTATTGAAGAAGATATGTGTCCTTGAATATAAAATGACACTTTCATAATAGAAATTGGTCCTTGACACAAGAAACTTAAACACGTGATTTTTATTACACAACTCTCTGCTTTTATTTTCCATTTGCTAACAAGTATCTTCTGACTATTTTCTGCACCCTTCTCCCCTCTTTCTTTCTTCGTATTTTATTTGAGATGAATGCTGCTGCTTTTACATGTTATAGGTTTTATCTTACGAACTAATAGTTTCTGTAAGCAAAGGATGCAGGTAAAGTTCATATTTGTATTAATATTACATGATTGTTAGTATAGAGGAAAGAATTGGGAATTCTTTCATTTTCTGCTCTAGTTAGTCAAATGATGCAATTTGTTCTAATTGACATGTAGATGGAAGAAGTCCCTCTGTCCTGATAGGAAAGGGAGCTTTACTGTAGAAGAAGATGAGCGCTTAACAGTGGCTGTCCATCTCTTTGGACGGAAATGGAATCAGATAGCTAAATTTGTTCCTGGCCGGACCCAAGCTCAATGTAGAGACAGGTAATGTATGTTGAAATGTTGTGCATATTTTGAGACTTGAGACCATTGCTAAAGTTGTTGAGCTTTCAGATACGTCAATAGTTTGGATCCCTCTTTGAAATGGGGTGGATGGACTAAGGAAGAAGATTCAAGATTGAAAAAAGCAATTGCCAAACATGGATTCTGCTGGTCAAAGGTTGCTGCAGATGTGCCTCCAAGAACTGACAGTCAGTGCAGGAAGTATGTCTTCTTATTTGATTTAGTGACAAATATACAATTTTCCATCACCAAAATTTTTGGGTTCATGACTTATAATTTTGGCTTTGATCAGGAGATGGCGGGTTCTATTTCCTGACCAAGTTCCTATGCTCCAAGCAGCTAGAAAGATGAAAAAATCCGCTCTTATCAGTAACTTTGTTGATCGAGAGTCTGAACGGCCTTGTCTTTCTCTAAATGATTTTCTTCCCTTGGCAACGTTAGATCCGCCATCTGATCCAGATGTTGTGAACCTCCGACAGAAGCGGAAGAATAAGTCAAGGTATGCTTTTTGATGCGCTTCCCTGAAAAAAATCGCTAATAACATGTCAAGACTCAAGATAACAGCTTTGTTATTGTCTTACTATGGTATGTGGGTGAAGAAGTTGCACGTTTATTTAATGCTCTTCACACTGTTAGGAATTGGAGATATTGGTCCGTTTGTGATTTCTGATTTCATGAATTTAATGCAGCACTTCTAAGAAAAAGAGGCCCCAAAAACGTACAAAGAAGGCTCAAAGTTGTCTCAAGAAGCCACAGACGGACAAGGTTGAACCTTGTAATGGACATGGTCCTGAACCACATTTGGAGGACAACTCTGTTGATGCAATGCATGATCATTCTCCGCTGGACTCGGTTGTGACGACAACGAATGACCAAGGAGATTTTGGTGGACATAATAATATCGATAACCTAACTGAGTCAAATCAAGTTTGGACGGGGTTTAATGAATTGCATGAAGAGAGCCATACTTGTATAACACCTTGCGAGAATCCAGAAGGGACAATGGATCGGCATTGTGAGAATATGAACTCATTAAAACACCATACTGGAAGAAAGTCAAAGCTATCTGCAAGTATATCTGATGGTGCAGCGGTAGGTAGCAAGGTTGCTAGAAATACTACCTCAAAGAAGGAAAGGAAGGAGAAAAAGAAATGCGACAGAATGGTTAAAAGTGTTCAAACAGCAGAAAACCACCTGGTTAAGAATCAAATGCCAAAACCTGGAAGCCTATCTTCCATGCAGATCTTAGAAAGTCAGGATGAAGACAATATAACACTTGCTAGATATCTACACAATCCATCAAACAAACGGTTTAAAAATACCGATCAAATGACTCAGGCTGCCTCGTATGCTAGTTGTTCCATGAAAAAACCACGGAGATCTTGTCGAGCTGCCAAACAAACACGTGATTGCCAGCCTTTTAGTTTTAAAAAGGGATATGAATTGCCTTCTGAAGAAGTACACAACGGTCATGACAGAAACCAAGAAATGTTGGTTGTGCAAGGCGAGTTAGATGAAGATTGTATTGATGTTACACCTGGGACTTTGTCGGTCCAGAATCATTCTTGCAATTTGAAGAACATGTCAGCCATCAAAGCTGATGAAAATCAGAAGACGATGCCGGGGTCAGTTGATGAGCAGACTTTGTTTTTGGATGGGGTGACGGCACCCCAAAACATCAGTGTTGGAGAGGATGTGCCTACCGACGTTACCCTTGCTTCCTTCCTGAAAAAGATGAAAAGTAAGGGCAAGGCAACGACAGAGCCAGTTGATGAGCAGGCTATAGTTTTGAATGGTTTGACAGAAATCAAAAGCATGAGTGTTAGAAATGATGGGTCTCTTGACGTTACTCTGGCTTCCTTGCTGAAAAAGAGAGGAAGGAGACAGGGTAGAGCAGCTAAATGTGCCAGTCGTCCTTCTCATGATAGGGCTAAATGATAAAAAGTCGATTTGATGCATGCTGGCTGTGATATTGGTTTGTGCCGAGGGTCCATATTGATCAAAGGCTGCCTCATTTTTATTTTTTTAAATCCTCTGTGAAAAAGGGCTAGAAGCGGGCGGTACATGAGAAGTAGTGGGAAGTCGCGAGCCTGCGATCATGAGGCGTGATGTGATTTGAACATTTTGGCAATTAGGATGGGTTCTCTTTACTGACAATTTTGCTGAGCCAAGGCCTGTGTAGAGACAGTTTTCGGCCTGGCACAATGAAGGTTCGTTGTTTGATGTACTTAATGAGCATTTGCGATATACACATATATTGGAATATCTAACGGTATCCAATCAGTGTGATTTCTTGAACTGTCTGATGCGCGAGGTTTGTTGTGTCCAAGATACAAAGAAAAACAGCAGTATTCTCTTCTCTTTTTTTGCCAACAAAAACAGTAATATTTTGTTAACTAACAAGTGGTGAATAATATATTCGAAGTCATTAGGATATGAATTATAACATGCACTTGCTTTATGATATTTATCTTTCCGTCACCATTATCTGAATGTCAGGTTGACACCATTGTTTAGCAGGTTGCAATACTAATGATCATTATGATCTGGATAGACAAGAAAAGGCGTTACAATTATCTGTATATTTGAGAAATGAGGTTTATTTTTTTAAAATTTATGAAGTCATGAAGAGAATGAGTTTTGAGAAAAGCAAACTCCCACTCCCTTAAAGAAAAATGTTATAAAGAAGTCATTATTCGTTTACATGATAAACAATCATACAGAAGCAAATGTTATAAAATCAATAATTCTCGTAGAACGTTATAATGTTAACTCAATTGTAAATCTTATAGATTCTGGAAATTGTGCCACTAACCGATACTATAGTCAAGAAAAAATTATCAATGTAAGAAAATTAAAATACAGAAGTGTCAAATTTTATGCTTCCAAACTAAAATTGTACATTAAAGTCAGCTTTACAAGTTAATTTAACAGTCATGCTTACAGTTGAAATTTTTATACTTAAAAGTTATATTTGCAAGTCAAATTTTTATATTTACAAAATATTTATAATCTAAGTCGTAATACTACAACTTTTAAAAAATTTCTTCGGTGTTTAGTTTTCACGCCTCACATCTACGTCAATGAGATATTTTATCTTGCACCCGGCTATCCTCTTCTATATATTGGTCAGATTACGAAGTGGGAGGCATAATGAGATTTGAGATGTCCCTGTACCATGGTATGTCGTAATAACACTAAAAATAGTCAATAAATGATGTTAGAAGCATCACTTTGACCAACAAGACGAAAGTAAAAATAAGTTACTGAATTTCCATGACCTCTTCTTTTTCGCCCCCACATTTCTACTTCACCTTCCAAATGTCAGAGCATTTCCCGTGCAACGCAAGGGGATAAATCTCGTGTGCATTATACAAACAAATCATTCCATCTGATATCTGGGAGACTCATCCAGTAATGCAGAAGGGGGTATTGACCACCGAGGTTCTCCAACAGATCACCGCAGAGCAAGAATCGCCACCACAAAACATGGTTTGTGGGAAGCAGCTTTTGATTTTATACAGCCTGTTGTAACAATGGAATAGAAAATCCAAGTTTTGCGCGCAATCATCATTTCAGGAGATGAACACAAGATAATGAAGCAAAATCTTATAACAAATGGTAACCAAGGTGAATATTTAAACAAAAATAAAAGGCCGCCTCAAGGCCATTATCTTCAACATACAAATTGAACCCACAAAGGAACAACCTAAAACTTTTTGGACTTTATCTAGATTAGAAATCACTCATTTTCTTCTCAATTTCAAACAGGCTAGCATTTCATAGTTTTTCCTGATGGGCTTTCCTACTGACGTCCGATTCCCCAGACTCGGATCACACCGTCAGTGTAGCCACTGAACAACGTGCTTCCATCAGCACTCCAGCTCAAACAAGTGCAGTAGATAACCTGCCGTAGTGGAAACAAAATATATCAACAACTTGATTGCAAATAGTATTTCATTTTAGAGGCGCACAAAAAATAAAAAAAAGAAAGAACCTCAATATTGCCATATCTGCCATCATATCCTACATTTGCAAGACCCTGATATACACTACTTAAGAATATGAAGCCAACAATCAGGACAGACAGGACAATCATCCCCAAGACAAAGCTGACAAGAAGCCTGAGGTAACAGTTCACTGCACCGAAAATGGCTTTAAGAAAGAACGATCCTCAGAACTTTCATGGAAAAAGTGGAGTTAATGCATATGCACATACATACATATATAATACGACTTGGCAAGAATTTACCACGGATAGAAGATAGGAGAATACAACACCCCCTACGAACCTACAAAGCAAAGATCCAAATCGACACTAGCTCCGGCTTCTAGAACAATAAAAGCAAAAAAAAAAAAAAACCGGAGTGAAGAACATATTAAACAAATTGAAGATTGGACGAGGAAGGGGCACATAGCATCAGTAGAGGGAATAAGAAAAGAACCATAAGCCCCATATGTATTTGAAGCAACAGGAAGCATGCCTGTTTCTACACACACTTGTATGGAGTATACAGGAGCAAAGAGATTGCATATGAATGTCGATCAACTGAGTGAGACAGGTTATTAAGTCGTGATTGAGCCTGTAGGGAACTCGCAAGGACTTCCACCGGGCATAAAAAATGCATTTGAAATAACCGGGAACGAATGAACAGAAGGTTAAATATCAAACCAAGAGATAAACATAAAATGACCACAACAGGTTAAGCCAGCTACTAATCCATCAACAGAGAAAAGCAAATAACAAATCAAAATAATCAGAATACTTATAAAATGGAATCAAAAGAATTCATCACATTAAACATAGGAATAGTCATTTGTCAATTAACAGAGTATCAAGCCATCTAAAAAGAATCACTCGAAGAAATGACATTGTCCAGAACTCACCTTCTTCTTGGTGTTGGTGAATTCAGCCGTTTCAGCTTCAGTTTTCAGGTCAACCCTCAAATCCTCAACAATGCTCTTGCTCTCCAAATCCCAGATCTTAATGCTCTGTTCTGTAGCCGCACAGAGCCAGTACCTGTTAGGACTGAAGCAGAGAGCATGGATGATAGCACCAGCATCAAGGGAGTACAGCCTCTTCCCCTCAGCCAAATCCCAAAGCAAAATCACTCCATCTTTGCCGCCACTAGCGCACAGCGAGCCATCAGGAGAAACCGCCACCGTGTTGACATAGCCGGTGTGGCCAGCAAGAGTGTTCCTCAACTTACAGTTAGTCAAGTTCCAAACCTTCACGGTTCGGTCCCACGAGGCAGAAACAATAGTTGGTTGGAGCGTACTTGGGCTGAAACGAACACAACTGACCCAATCAGAGTGGGCATCACTGTCCTGGATGGTGTACTTGCACTCGCCAAGAGTATTCCAGAGCTTAATTGTGCGGTCACGAGAAGCCGACATGATCTGACGATTGTCAATTGAGAAGGCGACAGAGAGCACATCCTTGGTGTGGCCCACAAATCGGCGGGCGGAGACACCAGCGGTCAAGTCCCAGAGCCTGAGCTCGCCGTCCCAGGAGCCGGAGAGCGCGAACTGGCCGTCGGAAGAGAGAACAACATCCTGAACGAAGTGGCCGTGGCCGGTGAGCCTGCGGCGAGGAACACCGTAAGTCTTCTCCTCCTTGGTAAGATGCCACAAAATGATTGATTTATCGCGGGAAGATGAAACAATCATACCAGAATTGTCGATTGGGGTGGCAATGGCGGTGACCATGTCGGTATGGGCACGCATGGTGCCTCGGAGAACAAGCCCTTCAGCCATTTTCTGAGTTTCTCGGCACTCACTCACTTCTCTGCTCTTTCTTGGGTTTGCGCCTCTAGCGCGCGGCGGCTACGTGGAAACCATATATAGTGCTGAAACGTATTAGGGTTTCGGCAATACCCGGGTCTGTTTTCGGGTTGCGAATTCGGATAAGGAGGTACTATTATTGTTAACACTAGTATATGGGTTGGGTTAAGACTAGACATTAGAGTGAGTTCCTTAGCCCAGCAAACCAAACTGATCAAGTTTGCGGCAGAAATGATTGGGTACTCTCATATCACCACATTTCGAGTCCGCGTGCCCTGCTTTGCTTATTCCCCAAATGGCAGCGTTTAGGGGAAGAGACCCCTCTCTCTCTCTATCTCTCTCTCTTAAAAGAAAATATTTTTTATTTTTTTTGTTTTATTTATGTTAAGTTGTATTTAGTCTCCTAAGATATTTTTTTAACAACATTCAATATTTTAGATTAATTAATTTTTAGTATATCTAGTACTCTAAAATATTTTTAGCAATACCTGATATCTTAACTAGTCAATATTTAATATATTTGGTATTTTAAAATATTTTTTCAGTAGTACCTAATATTATAAATTAATTATTTTTAATACATTGAACACCCTGAAGTATTTTTATAATAGGGCCTAGTATTCTAAGATAATTAATTTTTAGTGTATCCAGTATCCTGAAATATTTTTCAGTGATACGCAGCATAACAAATTAATTAATTTTTACCTCAGCTAGTATCCTGAAGTATATTTTTTGGAATACCCAATATTATAAATTAATTTGTAATACATTCAACACTCTGACATATTTTTCTGGTAACATTCACTAATTAAAAAATAGTTTAAATATATTAAAAATTAATTAATTTGAGATATTAAGTGTTATTTAAAAATATTCTAGGGTGCTAAATACAAGTAACTCAAATAAATAAAATGAATAGAAAAAAATTATTAAAAAAAAAGGAGGAGGAGGAGATATCCCATCCCCAAACACTGCCGAGTATTCCCTGCTCATCGAATCGATTAGCAGGGGATGCGGATTTCATCTATATCCCCATAATACGATAATCCCAATTAAAAATGACATTTTTACAGTTTTCATATTATCTTGCGTCAGACTCTATCTTGTTCGTTTTGGCAAAAAAAATTTCATTCGCCTTTAAAAATTTCATTCGCTTTTTTTGGTATGATAGATAAGAAGGGGGGAGAATTTGAGAATAAGAAACATATTATCTATCTTAAGATTAAATTAATATGATTAGTGCCTTGTGATTGGATATTATATAGATGAGCTGATATTGTCTAGGAGTTTCTCAGTTTACAATCCAATTTAAACTAATTTTAATTTTTGCAACTAAAGTTTTTCTAGATCGATGAATAGTGATCTTGAAAGATCCGCAGTTTTCGTCTCTAATTCCTCATGTAGCCTTCATCCTTTTTTGTGCGATTAATGATTGGCCCTTTCTAATCTAATCGTCTTTAAGGGTGACTTTTAAAAGCTAAGTTTAGATGTGAAATTTCCTTATGCTGCTGCTTCTTTAAGTTTCTGCTGGCCCATTATAACCTTCATGCTCATCGTTATGATTCTGATCTCCTTAACCAAGGGTTATTCCTTGTATAAACTCTAAACCTAGCTTTCAAAATTATTAATCTCCCCTAATATTATCTTAAGCTCTCCAGCAAAGAAAACGATACGATAAAGAACAATTTATTAGCCGTATTTAGGCAGACACGTATGCATGAGGGGATGATGAGCATAGGAGAAATTAATAATATACCTGATCAATGTCATCATGTTCCCAGAAGAAAGAAGTCGACCCTTCCGATTAACGAGTTTCTTTTTCACTTTTTCAAATATATCATCAAAATTTAACTTCTCCACATTCTCTTAATAATGATAAGTTATTAGATTTCATTTGGTATAAAGCATTAAAAACGAGAGGTAATAATTGAGATTATGGTCAAAAAAACCATTTTAAAGTATTTAGTATGAGTTACTACATAGGATTAGACAATCTCATATAGGTTAGATTGGAGAATACTACTTCCTACTATAATATTCTCTAATCCTACCTATATAGATTTGTCCAATTCTAATTAATAATCATTCATGCTAAACATTCTTTTAATATTTTTTTAAAAATTTCAATTCTAATTCTTATTCCTAATTTTTAATATGTCATATCATACCAGACGGGAACTTATTTGTCCGGTGAAGGATGCGCTGCTGGTCAAGCGCCGTCGCATCATATGGTGGCCATGACTCTGTTGCCGATCAAACCTGACAAGAGGAAGGCTGTGTTGCCAGTAAATGCTATCCACGAGCTTGGCAACAGGGAGGCTTAAAGGATAAGGATGACAAACAACTTTGATTTTATGAAACCCTAGCCAGTTCTAGCAGAGCGATTGGAAGCGAGTTCCATCAATTTTGATGGAAATCGGTTCCACCAAGAATCGGGTTCTTAGGTACTCCCTCCAATCCATAATATACCACGTTAGTTAAAAAAACTGTAATCCAAAATATAAGATATTATCAGAATAATTAATATGATACTTTCACTTTCATACCTATTAGATATACGATAGAGAGAGAAGAGATATGAGAGATAATAAAAGTGTAGCATTAAAAACAAATTTATCATTTTTTTATGGTAAAATAGAAAAATTTACCATTTTTAACACATTTAATGAATAAATTATTATTATTTTTAATATGTGAGAAAAGTTAGCGAACTTCAACAAAATCAAATAAACAAGAGAGACGCCGTTTCAGTTCGGCGTCCACTTCCTCAGCTTTGGCTCCATTGTACGAATCTTGCGTTAATAATGAAAACCCTTATATCTAAGGCACATGACGTAATGACAAGTGTTCATGTTTTTATTGACAGGGATTTAAGATCCAAACACTGTTGCTTGCCTCTTTCCATTATCTTAATCCCTTTCCATATTTCTTCATTAACAATCAAACAGGATATGAAATTGGAGCAACTGAGGAATCAATGAGATGATGAAGAGCCCCATCTCCCTTATGCCCTGTCTGTGAGAGTCCAAAAACTAGCCAACAACAAGGCTAGTTATCATTTCTGTGGGATTCCGATCCCCAAACATCATGTATAATTTGCTTGTCTAACACGATATATAGATTGTGAATGCAAAATAAAACAGTGATATATACTTCTGCTTCTTAACATGAAAACTAGTTTGACATTCAATTTGATTCTAAATATAAGATCTCAATTCATTTTGTCTCTTATATTTATTCATTTTTTTCAACGTAGTCTTTGTAATAGTTACACATATTAAATATTCTATTAAATGGTAATTTTAACTAACACATATGATTGGCAAGGATATTTTAGAAAAGATAACACATATTTATTACAAATAGATAACTTAACAAACATTTTTAATCCATTCAAATTAATTAACTACATTTTTAATCTATTCAAATTAATTAACTTATTCTCATATTAAGAATCGGAGGTAGCATATTAAAATGTTGGTACGCTTGGTACGATTATTGGCACGATTGCACCTCGTTTGTATAAATTAAAGGACCATTTTGAAATAATTTCAAAGGTTAAAGGACCAAATTAAATGTTCATTCGTGTCAATAATAGAACTTATGAAACAGTGAATAACACACCGTCATTTTTGGGGGAAACAAGTCTATTTAAGCCGCACACACGCAAATATTTGTATGTCATAATAATATATATAACATTAAAAAAATTGAACCATAAAACACTTTTTGAAAAAAATCCTATCTCCACTCTCTCGTTTTACATTCTAAGGGTGCCTTTGGTATGAAGGATTTGGAGGAAAAGGGAGGGAGGATGAGGGATCTTAATCATTTCTCTTTATTTGGTAACACATAAATTTTAAAAGAGTAGTTAAAATTTTCCCTCCCCTCCCCTCCTCAACACCCCTCCAAAATTAGGAGGATTTGGAGGGAAAGGGTAATATTTTGCCATGTTGTGATCATTATACCCATCTTTATTTTTAATATTCCTATACTACCTTAAATCCTTCTCTTCTTATCTCTAGACGCTGTTTTCTCCTTTGCATTACCAAATACTTCATTCAAAGATAGGATACAGTACAAGTTACGACTGAACATTACTTTAGCCTTCTTTTCAATAATACTTCACGCTCTAAAGTATATTAGAATTTTGATATAAGTATTGCTCAATATATTAAATGTTATTTACAATTCTATTTTATTAAACATTTTATAAAATTTGAAAAAATAATCTTAAATAAAATAAGGGTAAAATTGTCTATGTTAAAATATTTTTTCGTTCCCTCCCCTCATAAACCAAACAAGGTAATATTAAAACTTATCCTCTTCCTTTTCCTCCATTAAAATCCCTCCCTTCATTTTCCTTTCACGGAGCCAAACAGATCGTAAGAGAGGAATAGTGGAAATAAAAAAAAAAGAATTAAAATTGATATTAGAAGTTGATTTAGCAAGCCAATTCACATATTCATTGATTTCACCATAAACATGTTTAAAAAAATCGGCAAACACTTCGCAATGTGATTTCTCTTGATTACAATTGATGGGCCTCCACCCCAATCATAACACTATGGTAGTTACTACTATTCTTTCCAACAAATTCTAGGCCTTTATACCGAACAATATAAATTTTGCATAATTAGTTACACATTATCATCAGTTTTTCCAATTTGAATAAGTACATGAATATGACTCGTCGACGTAATTTATGTAACTAGCCTAGCTTCAACCTTCGTACCGGATTTTTACAGTTTTTTTTTTTTTTTGGGATACTTTTTACAGTTTGTTTTTTTAAGAAAAAAGGGAAAGGGAATCTGTTGCCTCGGGCTTTCCCCATAGATACTCCTGCCTTTCCTATTTCCCCTTTAGTTAGAACTGGTATCTTGCTGATTAACTCCGAAAGGGGTTGAACCTTGTGATTCGATTCGAATGCTCAAGGTTTCGCTTCTTCCGTCATTTTACTTCCTTGGATTTTCCATTCATCTCTTTCCCCAATATGAGCTTTTCTTTTTGTGTCGCTGTCTGCCATGAATGCCCACTTGTGCATTTATAACCAAAGGGGCTAGTTTACCGAAGCTTATTTATTGATACCCTTCCCTCGCTAGTAAATTTTTCCACTTTCCTTTCCTGAGTAACCCAGTGGATGCGGACTAACTACAAAGCGAAGGCATGGTAGTGGATTTTTTGTATTCATCATAGCAGCAAAATGTTTTCTCTGAGGTGAATTGTCAAATATCAGTGCGTTTGTTCCCTTGGGTGTCGTCTGAATCATTGTCCCATCCCTCTTTCTTATTGTTTTATAGGCCTTTCCAAATATTTGATCTGTAATTTGATGATAAATAAAATGTTAGCTTGTGTTAATTTTTGTAGAGGGTGGGTTCTGTTAATTTATTGTGAAAATGGAAAGACTATTTTTCTTATTTGAACTTGTTGCTGCATCCCGTCGGTGTTGTTTAGTAATTTCTGCATCTCTGACGGGTCCCTTTTTTAATTACTGTATATTAGGAATTTTTGGAGACGGCATAGGAGGAAGATTTTCGTCACTGCTGGTGTGTTTGGAAGTGGTTATCTTTTGTATAAATTGTATGGTGCTTACAAGCGTAGACTTGATGTACTGGAGGGAGAACTCACACTTCAGAGAGAAAATGAGGAGCTCATTAAGGCTCAGTTAAGTGCAATTCTTGGCCTCATTTTTTTCTGTCCCCCCCCCCCCAAAAAAACACACACACACACACACACACAAAGATCGAAGAAAGAAATGGAATTCCCATAACATATTTTCATAATGCTGACATTGACAGGATGCAAGCTCACTTTGAGAATATTCAGATGATTTCTGACACAATAACGTTGCCTCATGCAATGCACTATTTGAGTTGTCGGATAGCGGAAGATCTGGATCTTTCTCAGCTTCTTGAGAGGCTAATTCAAGGAAAGGGGCAACCAAACACGTTAACAAGTTCAGAGAAACTAGAATTATGGGATAGACTCAAAATATTAAGTATGACTTTACCTTGGATTTGACATTCAGCATACTAGTTTGCTTTGCTTTGTTAGATTGCTTGGCTGTTCTGAGAAAATTGAAGACAAATATTCTTATATGCCATTTTGTCTTAGGTTTTACAAGAATGGCACTGTCAGTATGGGCAACAACTATGCTTAGCTTATATGTAAAAGTTCAAGTCAATATACTGGGAAGGCTTCTATATATTGATACTGCTCGAAGCCTTGGAGGCTCCAATTTGATGGTATGGGCCTCTGTTTTTCTTTTTCTTTTTTATGTTTTCAATTTCATCACTAGCACTTGCAAATTGTTAAGGATATTAGTAAAATCAGTTGCAAGTTTTCACCTTATCCTTTACATTTAGGCTGATGAAATGGTCTTCAATGTGGTAATAAAGTTTCTATGACTGACCAAGGTGTCATAAGGGCTTTCGCATGGAATATAATACATTGGAGTCTTAGAGATAATTATGGACGGTCATTTAATAGCTTAAGCTTTTAGAATGAATTAGTCCATAATTCCCCTCGAAGAAAAATGATATAAAGCTGTGTTTTGAACAGGCTTTTTTAAATATTATTTGCTGGAAGTTCTATTAATTCGTTCTGCCAAGTCTTGAACAGCCCGTTAACATCCTTCTATGCTATATACTTGGAAGAAAAATCAGAAAATTGTATATCTTAGAAGGTCAGAAGGTGAATATAGTGTCTATTCACAGTCGCCTGCTTCCTGGCGTCTAAAGGCAACATCCTTACTATGAAGAGCTGGACACTACTACAATAGGGTGATTTTTTTTTTTTTTGGAGAAATGCTAGACACTTTTTTGAGGGGAAAAAAAGTAGTTTGCTGAGAAGATTTCAACCAACTGGGACTCCTTTTATTGTTGTTGGCGTATGTTGTAGGAAAAGTTGCAAATAAGTCAGCTGCTCTGCTACTTAGTGTTTTGAGATTCTGCCTTACTGTGGTTAGACAGTGTCACTTTGCCTACCTGTGTTTATGGTTCTTTGGATCAGTTCAGATTACTTACCTCTTACTCTTTTGTCATATAGTGAGTTTAAACAAAGGCTAGCTTGAGTAGCAGATAATATACTATTTATGAGTGTTGGTGATATGTATTGTGTGCTCAACATAATTGTCTGTGTATGGGGAAATGAGATTATTAGATGCCCTAAAACAAGTTGTGGTTTTCCATGGTCACTCAGAAGCAATTAGTGTTTGGTATTCGACAAAAGTACTTTTAAAAAGCGGTTTTCACAAATCAAGGTAAACTCCTCTATATATTTACTTTATATACCGTAAAATCACTTTTAAAATCATGATTTGGTTTTCATCCAAACACTTCCTTAAACAAATTATTGTTATCAATATTCACTCAGTAGCATATATATATATATATATATCCAAGTTCGGAATTAGAAATGAGATTGTGTAGCCCTCAAGGGAGATTGTTAGAGGAGGGATATTTAAATTTCAAGAGCATCTAAATTTTTTCAACTGTAGGATAATGATTTACTTAATTAGTTATTTAACATCTCTTAGGAACTTTCAATCATACTGAAGCTTTTCAGTGAGTCGTGTACTTGCTTCAGTTAGACCAATCAAATATAAAACTATTTGTTTACTGCTGAATTGACATGACTACTATGACAATGATGTATATTGTAACAATTGTTTTACTGTCCATCTCTTAGGTGGCAATTCCTGTTTTCACAAAGATGACATACTGATTACTGAGGTCCATTCCTTGTTAGAGTTTTTATCCACAATATTTGACTACACAGTACTGTTCGCAGGCTCTATTTCATTAATTAAACTTTGAGGGATTAAAATGATGAGTCGTAATGCTCTGAATGCGTGAAATAAAGAGAACTGGAATCTGCTATATGATGATTATTTGTCATGCACATACCATAACTAAACGAGTAGAAAGGGCTTGTTACCTCTTTCTTAAACAGTTCACTTCAATCTTTACCATAAAATAAAAGCCATCGTCCATTGAAGTATTTACTTTAGTAATAAGTATTAATTGTGGCTGTATATGTTTCTACCTCTTCAGCTGAGAACATTTCTTCAGAAATGCTCAACATATTTTGGTGGGACCCTATGCTTTAGACTTTCTATATAAAATTTCACTCGATACCTTTAGCTAGGCATTACACCCTCTGCAAGCTTTTTTGACAATTATATATGCCTTGTAATCTGTTTAATAAGCATTCGCTGTGTTGATAAACTTTGCATACTTTTTGAGATGGGAGTGTTTATCACGAAGGATGCTAGGATAAGGTGAGTTAACATGGTTAATGATCTTTTATGGGCCTGCTTAAGTCTGATGATTAATTGGATCCTAATAAGAGGTAAATAGACTGTCCTGTTGCAAAACTTTGGCCTTGTGTAATTAATTGCACTTCAGTTATTGGGCTAGAAATATATATTGACACATGGCTTTTGGAACCAATTATTGATAAAGATGCAAATTTGGATTATGACTTAAATTGGGTGGAGGGAATTCAGAACGAAGTAGGAAATCCAAGTTTAACTTTTGATATCTTTATAAGGTGAATCACGAATCAAATCATAAGGTAAAACACAAGTTCGGCCTTGACCTAGCAAATCCTTGAAGGAGTGTATTTAAATCATTCTTCCTGTAGCTATTCTTTAATTTCTATTGTAATAATGGCACACCATGGATTTATTCAGCATCGTCTGAGGAAGCTTTTTTCAACTTCATTTCACCGAAGTTAATTAAATGAACTGCCAATCACGTAAAAAGGAGAAAAATGCAAGGGGAACTGCAAATATTTTCCACCAATTCAAGCATGTTATATGCAAGCTGAAAGTCTCTTTTTCCCCTTTTCTGTTGTTGATACAGGAGAATAGGGATATTGTTGACAGGGAAGACCAGCAGAAATTTCTTGGAAGCGTAGATTTTCTCTCTCAATATGGTATACCTTCCTTGGTTTTTGGCATGGAGCTGGCAACTAAAGAAGCTCTTAAAGGGTGAGGTTTCTTTTATAATCTTGAAGGAAAATAATTGGTGAAGTGAATCCCACAATTTCTTAGAAACTTTTTATGGGACAGGGATATATAATTCTAACTTTTTTTTTTTTGGGCCAATGACATATAATTTTAACTTTGTCATGAGATATAGAACAATCTTAACCCTGTACATTTTGGGCTGCAGGAACTCATGTATGCATGTCTGAAATTTGAATTGTCCGAAGCCAAATATGATTTTGAAATTTCTAAATCCTTCCATATTCTGTTGATTATGTATCTGAATTGGGAAAACCATAGAGTTTCAGATTTTTTTTCAGCATAATTATCCACATGTTTATTTTACTCCTAACTGAATAATGAATAGGCTTTTAAAATAAGTTTCCACATGTAACATTAGCACATCTATGCAACCTTAAATCTGCCACTTGAAGTTGGCACTAAACCCTACAGGAACTTTAGGTTGAAGAGTTCAAGCTCCTCATAAATCCTACATCAAAATTCCATACTTCATATGTGAGATTCAAGTCCCATATATATACAATTGAGCTTGACCGAAGAACATGGAGGGATAAATCATAAACCATGATTCGTAATTATGTTGGCTTATCAGTAGCAACTTCTTTTAGTGGACCAAGACATCAATAAATTCCCTGTCAACATTCATTTTAAATGGGCTGAATGATTTCTATGTGCAGCAAGCAGTTGAGAGATTTCTTCAACAGCAAAGCACTCCATGAAACTATCATGCAGATCCTCAACACATTCATGAGCAGAGGAAGTCCGCACTCCTGGGTGAAGTACATGATGCCTGAGGCTTTTGAATCACCTAAAACAGCCTCCAGCAGTAGTGTTGATCCAATTCCTTCTGACACAATTGGATTAGATCAACTAATGGCAGAGGCACGGGCAGTGCTAACAAGGTATATATGTAATGTTTTGGAGTCAAGGATTAATAACAACCTGCCATAGAAATTTAATCAATCCGGGGCAACCATCTGCACGAGTTCTGTGCTTGTATCATGCAGCATGACTCATGCTTCTGGTCAATGCTGAAAACTTATATGAGATGGAAAATCCTAGTCAAAATACAGACGTTTGGCAGATATTTTTAATAAAATGATTTGTTCTGTAGGACTTACTTAACATCAACCAAGGCACACGTGAATTATGAATTAAGCACCTAACTAATTTCAAGGTTCCACGTATTTTTGTTATAATTGTCCTTATCACAAAAAGATGCGTCCCTTTCTGGATAAATCACGTGTAAAATTTCTACATAAATATGCTTGTGAGAAACACATCTGAGTAGAATCAGAGGATGGTCGATGATACTTCATTTGTTTATTTAGTATTGTAAATCTCCGTCATTTCTTTGGGTTTAACTGATAGAGGATCTGTATTGACTTTTAGTTAATGCTTTTAGGTTTCAGTGTGTCTGGCGTTCTAACACCCTTAAGCTGCAATCTCCATACGTCAACATGTTATTCTGTGTTGGCTTTCTGTAATGCAAAAATCCGTTTTGGCTCTGTAAATGCTGAGGTGGTTCTAGCTGATACGGTTCTAAAAATTGTCTTGGGGTTGAAGTGTTCAACCCAAGTCCTACTAAGAGTCAGAATTAACCAAAAATGCTGACCATCTAGTTGATACTATATAGAAGCCTTCCTCTGCCTTTATTCTTTCCTGCTTTTCATTCAACAATGGAAGTGATTAAAATAATTCAAAGTCCAGTTTGATTTATTCATTTGCTAGAGTTAGTTTAAATGCTATTTGAAGACCTATAAGCTTGGAAATCATCAACAAATATCATAGTTTAGAGAGGGGAGAAGAAACTTCTTTCTAATTGACTTTCCTCTGTTTTTGCAGCGCTGAATTTGGGAACGTTGTGGAGATATCTCTGAAAGCAGTGTTGGACGCACTCATAGAGCTCATGGTGACTAAATTTGGAGGAGGAAATTTAACCTCAGGCGTGCCGCTGGCCAAATTGTTGCCTCAAATTGCTCATATGTGTCCTCTTCTCTTCGAAGAGCTAAGCAAAAATCAGTTCATCCAAACCATTAGAAATTTACCCGAGGTTGAAATCTTTTTCACCCTCCTCTATGCAAATGTACCAAGCGCATAGCCAAGTATTAATTATGCTTTAAGTGAAAATCAAAAAGGGGAAAAGGATTAAATTTATTACATGGATAGTACGAGGCATCAATGTAAAATAGTTTAAAGAGGTCCAAAAGGCTTCTTGAAAGAATTACTTAGGGGCTCAATTGTTATTCTTGGTCTCACCAGCATGGCAGTTTTCTTTTTGGTGCAGTTATGTGCCCTGCTTCTTCGGCCTAAACCCGGGCTTTAGATGAACTGTCCTTTCGGGCTACGGTTTCCTTTTTCTCAGTAGTCTGTACTGTATAGACAATAATGATTTTTATTATTTCTTCCATTTTCTTTGTTCATGGATTGCTTCCTTTTTGGTCCACTAATCCAGGAATTGCTTGTTGATCCTGTGAAACAATGCCAGAACCTAGTCTTGTAGATTCTATTTCATTATTCACTATGTGAGTGTGGTTCTATTAGTGTGTGAGCGTGCATCTGAAGTGAGTTTTACTGAATACTGTTATTTGATATTTGTGATTGTTCTAGGTAATTTGACTTCAGTTATGATGATAGTTCATCTCCGGTGAGTAGTTTATCAATCTACCTTAACTATCGATTGTTGCCTGATATTGGATATATCACTCATGAAGTTTAACTTTTTTATTTTTAATTTATAGAGAGGAAAATAAAAAGCTTTTTACTTATCCGTGAACTAATATACTCATTCAATTAATGTAAAATCTAATTAAGTTAATTTTGATTTTAAATATAAGATTTATTTTTTATATTTATCAATTTTTTTAAAATTATTTTTATTGATACTCCCTTAATTGTAGTTAAATAGGAAAGTAAGAAGGATATTAAGGAAGATGATTATGGTGTTTTAAAAAAATATCATATTTCTTATAATTAATTAATTTTCTTACATTAAAGATTAGAGGAGTTTAATATGATGTTATCTATGGGTATTTTTGAAAGATTAGGTCACATTTGTTACGCTAAATTAGTTTATCTAACTTTTTTAATCTATTCAAATAAGTTAATTACTATCTCTTGTCCCTAATATAAGTTAGAGAACTAATTTGAAATAATTAATAAAATTAATTACGTTTTTTATTTATAATAAATGTGAATTGATTTTTCTAGATTATCTTACATTGGAGTTACCTCTTGGTGAAAACACTTTATAGGAATATTTTAAAAAACACATTATAATTTTAAAAGACAATAAATTAAGGTCTTGTATTTAAAACACATTATAATTTTAAAAGACAATAAATTAAAGTCTTATATTTAAAATTAAATTTAATCTCTAACTAATTTTTATATTTAAGATAGGGGTTAATAGCTTTTATATAAAGATTTGATGGAATATTTGTTTCTTAAAAAGTAGTGCTTTGATGGAACACTTAAATGCGTTTAGGTGAAATGTCACTCAACTCAGCTCAACCAGCCCACTGAATTTTATCTTTAGCAGGTTGGTTCCATTAATCTGGTTTGTGAAGCAAAAATTTCTGACGTGGATTCTAAACAAAAGGTTTTGTGACACATCGAATAAAAATAGAGTCAAAATAGCTGATCGTAAGGATGGACATGGATGAAAGACAGCAAAATTTAATTACTGCTCGTTTTTAATGTATCCTAAAAATTTACCGCAATTGGCATGTAAGGATTAATTAAAGTCGTCTTGCTTTTAATTAAACACATTAGACGTCACTTTTTTTTCCTTTTTCGGCCATAATTGGCTCGCGCATATAAAGCTCAAATAGTAGTATTATATTCTTGCAAAAAATAGTATTATATTGATTTTAACACATCAAACACTACTTGTTTTATTATTATTTTTATCATTAGTATTTTTGTAATTGTCACTCAGTAGTCAGTTCCAATTGAGCATAGTTTTGAGATATTTGTTATAATATTTTAAATAGAAATAATATAAATGAAAATTTTTTTTACAGCCCATTATTATACATTTAGAAGTGTCACATATTCTTGCATGCATTCATTAAAACTTGAAGAGAAAATACTTGAAAGATTTTACCCATGTATGTTTATATTTTATGCACTTCGTAGATGTTTTACATTTTTTCTTGCATGCATTCATTAAAACTTGAAGATAAAATACTTGAAAGATTTTACCCAAGTATGTTTATATTTTATGCACTTCGTAATTTATGGTTCCAAGAAATTCAACGAAACTGAATTTATTTCTTTATATTGATCAGATAAATGTTTTATGCCATAACTGAACCTTATTTTTCGGGCTAAAGTGCTCTATCAGCAGCACAGCCAACACTTGGAGGGAAAAAAAAAGTCTTCACAAACAATTTTTCTCACATGCTTCTTTTGAATTTAATAAAATCATTTTTAGAAAGTCAATTGACACCCCCTTAAAATAAGAGCACTTACTCTGGCTTAACTGAATAAACAGGACGATAAAAGATTTGGATGTGTTGTTTATATATGGTCCTAAGCTACCCAACCAACTATTGATCTGAAACAATATACTCCGGTCTTTAATATAAGACCTTATTTGACTTTTATTTTGGTCCTAAATATAAGACCCCAATCTATTTTGTCTCTCATATTTATCTTTTTTTTTTTCTAAGATAGTCCTTTAATAATGAGACTTCTAGATAACAAACTTGATTAGTAAGGATATTTTAGGAAAAACAACGCCTATTCATTACAAATAATTAACTTAACTAAGTTCTTTAATCTCTCCAAATTAATCAACTGGGTCTTATAATTAGGACAGGAGGTAGTATAAGTACTTTGAAACAATATATAAGTACTTTGCATGTTTCAAGATTTGCTAAAGGGACAAATGAGTTAAATTTATTATTTTGTTTAAAACAAACAATTGATTTCACGTTGAAAACCATCAAATCTGTAGTTTTCAACGCGAAACTAAGCATGCATTTAATGTAATCTCTCTCTCTTTTTATTTTTTTTATTTTTCTCGTCGGATTAAAAAAGTCTTTTTCATGAAAATATGATAATTGAAATGAGCTCAGGATCAAAACCAAAAGATTGAACAAGTGTGGAATTAAATAAAAGCAGCAGAAACTTGACCTTTTTTTAGCATATATACTTCATGTAGTTCCTCTTTTGTTTGCTGCAAACAAGACGTAATTCTATTGAAGACAGGTAGGAAGATACTAGGGAGAATTACAATGAAGTTTTTTTTACTAAAAAATCTCAATAACAATCTAAATAGTATGTAATAATAAGTTTTATAGTAAAAAATGATACTCCTCCGGTCCTTATTATAAGACCCCATTTGACTTTTTATTTGATCCTAATTATAAGACCCCAATCCATTTTGTCTCTTATATTTATGCATTTTTTTTCAAGATAATCCTTCTAATAATAATAGTTTTAGCCAATATACTTAATTAGCAAGGATATTTTAGGAATGACAACACTTATTTATTATAAATAACCAACATAACTTACTTCCTTAATCTCCTCAAATAAGTCAATTGGGTCTTATAATTAGGACCGGAGGAGTAATTTTTTAGACTGGTTCTTGTTTTGTAATTATTTCTTTTCTTGAGACCTTATTATAATTCTCCCAAAAATATTATATAGTGTTCTTAATATAAGAGTCAAATAACTAATTTATAAATATTAAAAAATTAATTAAATTAGTTATATATAATAAATGAGTATTGTCTTTCTTAAAATACCCTTGTTAATAATGTAAATTGGCATTATGATGAACATCTTTTAACATGTGTAATTGGCATGAGGACTACTTTGGGAAATTAATAATTATGAAAGATTGAGTGGGTTAGAGTCTTATATTTAGTACTATTCTAATTCTAAATATAAGACATACGTTGTAGTGTAATTCACAATACTAAAGGAATACCAAATTAAATCTCCAGCTAGTTTTTTACTACCTCCGGTCTTTAATACAAGAGCTAATTGATTAATTTGAGTGGTTTAAGAAAATTTGTTAAGTTAGTTATTCGAAATAAATAAGCGTTGTCTTTTTTAAAATACTGTTGTTGATCATGTGTATTAGTTAAACCCACCATTTGATAGAATCTTTCATATGTACAACTATTATAAGGACTATTTTAGAAAAAATAGATAAACATAAAAAGTAAAGTAAATTAGAGTCTTATATATAAAATTAAATTAAAAATTAAATTAGCTTTTATATCAAGTATCAAAGAAGTATTTGGAACCGGAGGTACTAATGAGAAAGGAACTAATGAGAAGAGATAAACTCAGCGCTTTCCCCTCTTCCTCTCCCTCGCCCCCTCTATAATAATCTATATTGAGGACTCGTCACTACTTTATCCCCCCTCCTAATAAAATGAAACACGGAATAAGATGGAATTTTCTTTAATTTAACACAGATAAGGTTAATTTAAACGTTGTACAAGCTTACAACTATTTTTTTTATTAATGTAAAGTGTAGACCGTTTAGTTACTTTCTTTTTTAGTTGCATCCTGTTACTTTGTTTTAGAATTATAATAATGGTAAAATCTAACGGATAATTAAACTGAAATCTTGCCATTTTTTTCTGGTTTTTTGACAAATATTTGTTGCCTGGTAGTGCCAAATAATAATCCAGATTCAAGTATTACCCATCTCCAAGAGATGTGGGGTAGATCATCTCCCGTATATCCTTACCGTTCCTCTTACATTTGATCACGGGGTCTGCACAGAATGAAAAAACAGTTGCAATTTGAAAGTAATGAAGATACAATGGAAAATAGATAGAACATAAATCAATTTGCCTTGAATCATTACTGCCCTAGACCCTAGAAAGGTACAATCATCTCCATCACTCAGAATGAAGGCAGGAACAGAAACACCATTCCTGTGTAAATAGTTAATGGTCACTTTAATATAGTTTGCTAGACTAGGAAGGACTGAGGAGAACGCCAAGAGGCCAACACAAATACGGTCTTTTTAAATTGTTCTCATCGCAGATTTCAGAATAGCCTTACTTACTCAACTGTCGTTGTTTGTGTCAGATTTTGTGACGATGACAATTTTGCTTAGAAATGAGGGGTGTTTGGATAGAAATCTGGTTTCAAAAATAATTTTACAGTATACAAAATAAATATGTAAAAAAATTTGTCTCAATTTGTGAAAGTGTTCTTAGAAAACACTTTTAAACAAACAACACCCCCTGAATCACACTATTCCAAGTCACTTCTTATCTTTAATTACCTCCAACTCAACCCTATCCAATTCGTTTTTGTTTGAACCTAGTTATTGTAAATATATTTACACAGATATACTGTCAATTGAACAATTGAAAAATTATTCTGATGACATTCCAAACAAGCGCTTGGATTGCCTCCCATGCTGCCCTTTCATCCTTATTAGAGTTCGTATAACTGATTTAGTTTAGTTTTGTTAGTTAGATATTGACAGCTCTACAGCATAACTTACAGAGTTGTATCACTGTAAATAATAACTCCATTTACTTCTCCATTTTGGATTTAAGAACATTAATAGTTAAAGCATGTTTGGAAGAAGAGTACCAGACATCATTTTGGTTGCCAGTCTCTATTTAGGGCAAGCCGGTGTCCTGCTTTGTGTAT